TGGCCATCCTAACTGGGGTGAGATGGTATCTCAGTGTGGTTTTGATTTGCATTTCCCGGACACATCTGAAAAGCTTTTTCACTATTACAATCCTGTGTTGCTGTGAATTTTCTTCTGATGATGTACTTTGGAAGGTTGGTTAATTATACTAATTCTTAATCATTGTATTTCATTGTAATTATTATACAGTAGTCCCTCGGTATCCATGGAGGATTGGTTCCAGGACCTCCCACAGATACCAAAATCCATGGATGCTCAAGTATCTAATATAAAATGGCATAGTATTCACATATAACCTATGCATCTCTGCTCGTATACTTTAAATTATCTCTAGATTATTTATAATACCTAAAAAAATGTGTAAATAGTTGTTGTATTGTTTAGGGAATAATGACAAGAAAAAAAGTCTGTACATGTTCAGTACAGACGCATTTGGGTTTTTTTAATATATCCGATCTGTAGTTGGTGGAATCTACAGATACGAAACCCACAGATACAAAGGGCCAACTGTATTTCTGATATTTTTACAGCATAGAGAAGTCAAAAGAGACAATACCACATTGGTCTTACATTCCAACAGTAACTTCTTTTTGTACAAGACTTATCCCTGATCTATTTTCTTCTCAGGCATAAAAACTGAATGTGCTCATTATCATTGACTTAAAACACACATATTTAATGTTATTGAAATAGCCCTGCAACTTTGAACCTGCAGTTCTCAGGTTCAGTTCTAGGTTGTGTTTATAATATGCATCATTAAATTTCTCTTAAGGAGTAGTCTTTAAGACAGGATGACTTCTTCCCACTCTCACCCTTATTTGTGTGTACATATGCATGAGCTTGTATATGTAAGAGAGTCAGGCAGACTGACAAGTGGACAGACTCAGAGAGCTAGACCCATATTTACTCACTAATATGGAAGAAAGGTTATATTTAACTGGAATTGATTGGCACGGAACTCTTCAAGAGTTAGAAAATCTTGTATTTTTTACTGACCTAACTTAACAAATTACTTTGTTCTCTTTGTGTAAGTCTCACTTTGAACCAGCCCCACCAAGAAGTCTATAACCTTGTAAAGACAAACCAACCAAAGGATAAGAGTAGAAATAAGTAAATAAATTTATTTATGCTGACCAAGAAAGATATCCCCCCTCATCTCTAAGTGATATTTTTTCATTACTTTATATGAAGGAAATTTTAGTGACTAGAGCAAGCAAATGTACTTTTACATTATTATCTAGCATGCATTACAGCCTCAATCAATTATGTTAGTAATAATAAAGCCCAAGGAGCTTACAGACAAATTTTGCCTGAATAAAAATAATTATAAAGTATTTCACAAAGCATTAAGTATTATATACTAAATAGAATCTTATAATAAGCAATAACTTTCCCTTATCATTTATTTATTCAACAAGCAGTTACTGATTGTACACACTTTGTGCCAAGTACTATGTGAAGTTCTGGGGATCAAAGTACTCACAGCCTAAAGAAGGAGATGATCAATTTCCACTAGTTATAAAAGTAGAAGAGGTAGCTCTTCAGTTCTTCAGCTTTGGATTGGAAATCAAGTTTCTGTTATCTCATCAAAGAGAACCCTACAACTTTTCGGTATAGGGAGTGGTGACAATTCTCTTTTACTATGAGAAGGACTGGAGGGAGTATCTTTCTGAAACTTCTTCCTGAAGTGGGGTATAGGGAGTGGTGACAAATAATTCTCTTTTACTATGAGAAGGACTGGAGGGAGTATCTTTCTGAAACTTCTTCCTGAAGTGTCTGAGCTGAATGTTAACTGGAATGCCAGCTGGAAGAATATAATTCCCTTTCCTAAATTGACTAAATAAGATCTCTTTCTCTTTTGTGCTTTAGCATGTTTTCCAGGAGAAGTTGGGGATAACTAATGCAATAACATGTTTTTTAAGGGCAGCCAAAAAACCCCAGCTCAGTCTTTATAACCTAATTGCTTTTTATCATTAAAATGTGAAATTAGTGTGAGTGAATGTTGAGTGATTTTAACATAAAGGAACATCTTCTGTGGTAGCTCCCAACCAAGAGAGCAGAAGGAAATGAGATGTAACATGTTTGATGAGAGGAGGCAATGAACTTGGAAAAAGAAAGAATGAGAAAAGAAAGAAGAGGTATAGCAGAGCCAGACTGAATTTGGTCCTAGTGGTAGCAGTGGCCAAATGCTGTTAACAGTAATAACTTATATTTTAATGGCCTCTTCACATGAATAGAGTGTTTTCTCTATTTGATTCTTACAGCAGATCTCATTTTATTTGAAGCTCTGAGATTAAGTGATTTGCCTAACAACAGCTTTTGTATGACAAAGCTAGGCCTTACTCTCAGTGCCCTCCACCCCAGTCATTACTGAATTATTACATTGGTATGCACCTTAGCGTTTACAAAGTATCTTTATACGTGTTATCTCATTTGACTGTTCCAACAAACCATGGAGGTTGGCAAAAAATATTATCCCCATTTTATAGGTGAAAAATGTGTGTCATTTTGTTTGATT